AAATGACTTAATATGTGTAAAGTCTGGCCACACAGCACCTCCCCTGCTCAGCTCCATCTGGGCCCTCCCTACCTATTTATAGCAGCTGTTTGGGGGCCTGTGAGCCTCCTCCGACCCCAGGCTCCTCAAGGGAGATGCCTGTGTTTCCACTAGAGTGAGCAACTCATGGCGTTGTCCCCTGGGACTGTCCCAGTTTGGGCGCTGAAAGCCCTGAGTCCCAGGAAACCTCTCAGTCTTAGACAAACCAGCACGGTTGGTCACCCTAGTCTCCATTTTTGTCCTCCAGGTTTGTCCACTTGGGTCCCAACTCACGTGTCACCTCCTCAGAGAAGGTGGCCCTGAGCCTCCATCCAAATAGGCATGTCTCCTTCCTGGTCCCTCCATCACCTGTCACATGGGGTTATCGCCATGGTAACCATCAGGTGTCTTGTCCATTGATGTCTCCGCTTGTGTCCTATCCTCCTCCACCTCGGCAAGGGAAGTTCTCTGGGACCAGGAGCCCTGATCCTCCTTCTCCACAGGATCCTCACAGGACAGGGCCTGGCACGCAGTCAGTGCTCAATACATACTTGTCAAATAAAGACCTGTCACCCATTTACTAAGCACCTACTATGTGCCAGGTATCATCCAAGGCTGAGGATGCAATGCTGAGCAGGGCAGATTCAACCTCCTGGTAGGCCGTGCAGCAGAACAGGGCAGTCGAGCATGGGGCAATCAGGAGGGCTTCCTGGAGGAAGTGATGTTTCTGCTGGCATCGGGACGATGTGTAGGGGTAGTCAGGGGTAGTCAGGCCACAAGGAGAGGAAGAGGCTCCAGGCAGAGCCACCAGCCGGTGCAAAGGCTGGAGCAAGAGCGCAAGCGCGCAGGGCTAAGGAGGTGCGAGGGCTCCGCAGAGGCAGGTCAATGAAGATACTAGGAATGGGGCAGCCCAAAGCTGTGAACAGACAGAGCTGTTTATCCCAGGAGGAAGCCAGGGCCCAGAGAGGGTCGTGGGTCTGCTCAGGTCACACAGGAGTCGGTGACGGGCCTGGGCTGGAAGCCACTGCCAGGTCCCCCTCTTTGGCCTGGGGTCTTTCTCTGCACCCTGAGCCTCCCCAGCCTCCACCAAGCGGCTCCCTTTTCTCTCTTTCCAAGCGATTGCTCTTTCACCTTCCACCCTGATGGCTGAGACCGTGTCTCAACGTCCGGCAAAGTAACAACAGTTACTGGATGTGACGTGACGAATAAAACACGCTGCTGAGCCGTGGGGCACCGAGCTGGGAGCAGCAAGCTGGGCTGGGACACGTGCACCTCTCGCTGCCTTTCCAGAAATGAGCCCAGAGGGGCCGGCTCGGGGCTCCAGGGCACCATGGCCCTGGTGGGGCCCTGCCCTTTCCCAGCCCCCCCTACCCCCCACCCCAACCCCAGGAGCCTCAGCGGAAAAATCACAGCTCACCAGCTCGCTGGGAGGCGCGGCCCCAGCGCGGCGCGAACCCGTGTCTTCCCAGCCCCGGGATCACCCCCGGGGAACAGGGGTCCCGTCCCCTTCGCTCTGCGGGGGTGGGAGCGCGTCCTCGCAGCCCCCAATTCTCCAGACCCCAGGACAGGCTGCCCATCCCCCATCCCCTCTGGGCGGAGACTCGGGTTCTTGTCCCCCTCTGGACTCCCTCCCCATCTGTGCAGTGGGGTCCTTGTCCCCGCCTCTCTGCCTTGTTGAGGGGACTCGATGTGTAAAGGACGCCCCAGCTCCTGTAAACCCAGCACCCAGCCGCCGGTCACTGCCTCCTGTCTCTGTGCGGGTTCTCCCCAGCCTGGAGCTCGTCCCCAGGGAGCGGGTCCCTGCCCTCCTGACCCTCCCCTCTGGGCCCTGAGTTCCCCTCAGCAAGGTTTAATCCACCCTTTCCTGCCTGCGGTTCTTTCTTTTCTCTGTGTTATTCAATCGGGAATAGTATTTGTTTTAGAGATCATCTGGCCGGATTTCCTCATTGCCAGCGGGAGAATAGAAGCCCAGGAGGTCACTCAGGGACTCGGAGATGGGATTAGAGCCCGGAAGCCCATTGCCAAGGCCGGGGCTTTCTCTACCACTCCAGGCAGCCTCCTCTTGATAGCCGTCCGCTGAGACCCACCTATGTGAACAAGGTCTCCACACACAGCTGTGTCCACATCTGGACAGGGCGGGTCCAGCAGGGCCTCAGGACCCAGCCTTGCCCCTTGGTGGGAGGCCAGGTGGAGCAGACAAGCCCATGTTTCTCCACCTGTGAAGTGGGCACCGTAATCCCTGTCTCTTGAAGGTGCTGGAAGGAGAAGCTTGCTTAGAATTGCCCCAGTCAAGAGATGTTGCCTGGCTGGATATGGAAAATTCAGGAATGAGGTTGAGAGGAGCAGGACATGGTGTTTTTGAGGGAACTGATGAATAAATCACAAGTCATTCAAAGGTATTTGAAGCTCATCTGCCTTCACTGAACTGATCTTTCTCTCTTACTCTCCCCCTCCCTCTAGCTGAGAGTGGGGTGAGGAATAAACAACAGCCTCCTCTCACCACACACACACACACACACACACACACACACACACACACTCACACACACATACACACACACATACACACTCACACACACATACACACACACATACACACACTCACACACACATACACACTCACACACACACATACACACACATACACACTCACACACACATACACACACATACACACACACACACACACACACTCACACACACATACACACTCACACACACATACACACACACATACACACACATACACACTCACACACACATACACACACACACACACACACTCACACACACAGCAGCCTCAGAGCAGACGTAACCCCGTAAGGGGCAGGGCCAGAAAAGGGAACCCAAGCCAGCCTCCCTTCTGGGATCAACCACGGTCCTAATACTAACTGCTGCTGCTTCTCGAGCACCTGCTGTGTGCCAGGTGTCATGACAAGTACTTTAAGTGCATCATCTTATTTCCATCTCTCAAGGAGACAGTGAGTGCAGTACTATGACTAGCCGCATTTTACAGACGTGCAAGAGGGTCAGATAGTGGCATAGAGGAGAGAAGACTCTAGAATGACATGGGGTTTGGTTTCCACTTCGCTCGCTTGACCATCGTAAGACCTTGAGCAAATCATTTAGCTTCTCCAAGCTTCAGTCTCCTCATCTCTAAAATGGGAGTGACAATCTTGCTGGGCTCTTTTGAGGAGCCCATGAGTAAATGGGTCAGTGTCTGACATGTAATAATTACTCAGCAACTGGTTGCCTTGGTTATTCATGTTACCATTGCTGTTTGCGCATTATTCCAACATTATTCCTTCCCCCTGACCCATCCTAGGTGCCTGTGCTGGGGAGAACCGTGGAGCTGAAACCAAGTAGAACTAGAGCACTGAGGTCTCCCATGAACTTTCAGTGGCTACAGACAGTTAAGATTTCTCTGCTGGGAGATAACACACACACACACACACACACACACGCACACACGCATGCACGATTTTCTCCTAGCAAGGAGAGGGGCAGGGGGACTCCTTCCCCATGGCAGCTCCTGGGCACTCTGGAGTTCCCGGTGGTTGCAGGCCTGGGCTCCTGGTGGTCTGGACGTGGGACTCTATCTTCTGGCACTAGGAGGAGGTAGATGAAGGCTGGGTGAGGGTGTGGTGAGGGGTACTCAGCTCGAGGGGCCTGCCCAGCTACAGCCACCTCCTCTTGAGCTCCTCCCTCCCTTCCTGCTGTAAGACAATCCGTTCTTTTTTTTATTTATTTATTTTTTATTTTTCTTTTTATTCAGCAAGATGACAGATGAGAAGACAATCCGTTCTTGACTTGACAGCTGCAGAGCCATCCCAGCACCCAGCACAGAGCCTGACACGGAGGGGACATTCAGAAAATACTGATTGAATGAATTAACGACTTCTAAGATTCTATAATTCTAGGTGTCTAAGACTATGATTCAAAGATTCTATGATTTTGTGATTTGAGAATCTTAAACTACTATTACTTTTAACCAAGGATCCCAATCTCGAATGCTGACAGAGGCCAGGCAAGGAATGAGTATGAGTGAAATGGATCAGATGTGAGTGCAAATACACATCGTGTGCAAATGGGGCAGCCTGGGAGGGACTGGGGAGCCCGCTCCCATCGTGGCTAGATCCGATTTTTTAGGACAAGGCAGATATGTGGATTTTCTTTTCTTTTTTTTTCTCTCTCTCTCTTTTTTTTTGGGGGGGGGTGGCAAGAATAGCCTCATATTTAAAGACTGACATGTTTTGTTTTGTTTTGTTTTGTTTTGTTTTGTTTTGTTTTGTTTTGTGACAGGGTCTCACTCTGTTGCCCTGGCTAGCGCACAGTGGCTCACTGCAACCTCAAACTCCTAGGCTCTAGCGATCCTCCTGCCTCAGCCTCCCAAGTAACTGAGACTACAGAAGTGTGCTACCATGCCTGGCTAATTTTTTTCATTTTTTGTAGAGACAAGGTCTGACTATATTGCCTAGGCTGGTCTCAAACTCCTGGCCTCAAGTGTTCCTCTCACCTCAACCTCCCAAAGTGCTGGGATTACAGGTGTCTGCCACCATGCCTGGCCAAGATTGGCATGTGTTGTTTTTTTATTTTTTTAAATGACAATAATGGAGGAAATTGAGTGTGGGGTTTCTGGGAACCTCTGGACTTTCTTCACCTTCTCTGCAAATCTAAATCTATTATAAAATGTAAAATTTTATTAAAGGAATAAAAAACACCATAAGGGCCAAAGGAAATAGATCAAAGAGCTGAATCGGCCCCAGGGGCAACTGTTTGCCAACTCTGCTCTCAGCTGTGGTAGAAGGAAGCACTAAGCCTGCAGCCAGCCAACGCCTGTGGCCTTGAGGGGCTCAGACACTGCCACTCCCCAGTCAGGCTGGGGGAGACAGGGCCCACACCTAGAGGCTGAGGCTGAGGCTGGGCTGGGGTGGCGGCAGTTCTGGGCAGACACTTTGCCAGGCCTGTAAGACATCCAGGTGGGGAGTGCAGCAGGCAGCGGATGCATGAGTCAAAGCCCAGGCGAGAGGTGTCAGTTTGCAGGCGGTGAGTGTGCAGATGCTTCCACGGGACCGGGTGGTCTCACCTGGGAGAAAATGTCCATGGGAGGAAGAGGAGGACTGAGCCCTGGGCTCTTCCAATTTGAGAAGACGGGAAGAAAGAGAAGGATCCAACTAAGGAGACCAAGGAGGACCAGCCAGAGAGGTCAGAGGAAAACCCAGAGAGTGTGTGCCCCAGGCACAAGTGTGGTAAGAGGCGGGGAAGATACTAGATTTTGACATCTCGGTCCCTCTCTTTTATCAGATGCAGAATGAATTCTGAGATTCTGTTATTCTGAGAGTCTCTGACTCCAGCAGTTTAGGGGGAATCATGAAGACTTCGGGCTCGTGGCTGACAGTCCAAATTCTGACTCTGCCCTTTCTAGCTGAGCCACCCTCTTTTGGCCTCAGTTTCCTGATCTGTAGGTGGAGGTAATAACTGCTTTGCCTCACCTCACAGGCTCCAGACGACGCCTGGACCATCCCAAGTCAGGACACACAGGGCATAGCTGGACATAGTTGCTCAGCCTCTAGCCGCCCCCCCCCCAACAGCCCTGAGCCCTCAAGGTGCACCTGCCCATTGCTGCCAGCTCCGCAGCACCTCGGCTTCTCCCTTCCACGCCTCAATTCCCTTCTGGAGTGTGGCCCCGCCCCTTGACTGTGGCCTGGTTTAGTCAGAACGTTTTATTGCAAGGAGCAGCACACAATGGTTTAAATAGGCCGGCCGCAGTGGCTCACGTCTGTAATCCTAGCACTCTGGGAGGCCCGAGGTGGGAGGATCACTCAAGGGCAGGAGTTCGAAACCAGCTCTGAGCAAGATCGAGACCCTCATCTCTACTAAAAATAGAAAGAAATTAATTGGCCAACTAAAAATATATAGAAAAAATTAGCCAGGCATGGTGGCTCATGCCTGTAGTCCCAGCTACTCAGGAGGCTGAGGCAGGAAGATCGCTTGAGCCCAGGAGTTTGAGGTTGCTGTGAGCTAGGCTGACGCCACTGCACTCTAGCCCGGGCAACAGGGTGAGACTCTGTCTCAAAAACATATATATATATAGTTTAAGTAAAGGTACGATGTAACTGGAAAAACAGGGCATGGAATTGGCTTCAGGCATAGGTCGAGACAGGGGCTCACACCGTGTCCCTGGGGCTCTATCTTCTTCCCCTCTTCTCTTAGTTCTGCCTCTCTCTGTGTTGGTGCCCTTTTCAGGAAGGCTTTTCCTCTTTGCAGGGAAGGTGGCCCCCAACCACTCCAGGCTTCGATGGCCCTTACCACTGGTGACTCTAGAGAAAGAGGAAGCATCTCTCTCCAAGTGTCCACATGTCAATCAGAGGATCCTGTTAACGGAAGGAAGGGTCCTGGACAAAAAGCGGAAGTCCTAGACCTGATGCGCCATTTGCTTTGCAGGACCCTGGGAGAACAAGGGTGTCCCTGAGGTGACTGTGGCCCCTCTAAGCCCAGAAGTTGAGAGTGAGGTCCATAGCGTCAGCAGAGGTAGGGAGGTGCTGCAACAAAGGGTTCAGAAGGCTGAGTTAGTGGAAAATTCGAGAAAGCAGGAATCTGCTGTGGGCACTCTGAGTCAAGTTGGGAAGAGAAGGGAATACTGGAGGGACTGGAGGCCAGGACTCGAACCCCACCTCAGTACCCTGCAGCCCCTGGAAAAGGTAATGCCTCAGTTGTCTTCCTGAGCTCTGGTGTAGCCAGGTTCCCACTGCAGCTGTGGGCGGAATGAACACACAATAGGAAGATGATGTCTTAGAATAACCCAGGAGAGGAAAGGCATGTATTTATCATGCAAACAATCACCAATCAGCAAGGACCACCAGTCAGATGGACCAATCAGATGAATTCATTTGTTCCGCCAATCACCTGTTGAGCACTGTTATGGCATCTTAATAAGAGACAGGTGGGCTTGGTGGTGCCTCCAGGTTCCCGATGACCTTGGGCCTCCTCCAGCACCTCCGCATCGCCCCCTACCCAACATGCAAACGACACCACCTCTTTGGGGTGGGAGCCTGTGGGGACTCCTGCCTGAGATTTCAGGAACGCACTGATACGCTCGCATCTCCAGGCACCTGGTGATGTCAAATGTGATGATCTTCCCAGGATTAGTGATGAGTAGAGCCAAGTGAAATTAAATATAGTTGTGAGACAGGATGTGGGTTCCTGTGTAGCCATGGTGACAGCATTCCTACTGAGTTCTCCACTCACCAAAGGGGCCCAGGCACCTGGGAGAGAAAGCACCTGTCAGGCCCTCCTGGAGCCCCTGCCCCAGACTCTCAGGCCCTGCCAGGAGCAATGGCTCACATCTGTAATCCCAGCACTTTGGGAGGCAGCAGGATCGCTTGAGGCCAGGAGTTCAAGGCCAGCCTGGGCAATACAGCAAGACCCTGTCTCTTCAAAAACTAAGAAAAATTAGCCAGGCGTGGTTAATTTTTTGAGACAGGGTCTCACTCTTGCTCAGGCTGAAGTGCAGTGGTGTCATCACAGCTCACTGCAACCTCAAACCTCTGGGCTCAAGCAATCCTCCTGCCTCAGCCTCCCGAGTAGCTGGGACTACAGACATGTGCCACCACACCTGGCTAAGTTTTCTCTTCTTTGTAGAGACATTGCCAGGCTGGTCTTGAACTCCTTGCCTCAAGGGATCCTCCCACCTTGGCCTCACAGAGTGCAGAGATTATAAGTGTGAGCCATCAAACCCAGCCCATGATTCTTTAAAAAAAAAAAAGTTCCCATTAAACTCAGGCTCTCTTTGTCTGACACCCACCCCTGGCCAAGACATCAGAAGAAGAATCAGCTCCTACAGGACAGGGGAGGGAGGTCAGACAGATTAGGGTCCCGGCACTGACCTTCCCAGCTGTGTGGGCTTGGGTGGGCTTCTGAACCTCTCTGAGCCTCAGCCCCCTCCTCAGGGAACAGGGCTGGGTCCCTATTCCCCATGGCTTTCAAGAGGGCTTGACAAGATCAGGTGTGTGGCCCAAGACTCCGTGCTGTCGTCCATGTCATTATGAGTCCATTCTCCTCATAGGGGAGGGGGCATCACGATACCCTAGGAGGCAGAAGGGTCAAGAGTTGTCACTTCCATTTTCCAGATAAGAAAACTATGGTCCAGGGGGCAAAAGTGACTCTCCCCAAAGTGGCAGGCAGCAGGCAGTGCCCAGGAGACTGAGAGGCTGAGGATGGTGGGGTGGTTAGAGTTGGTGCCTCAGGAGCCCCGTGGACATAGGTTCCAAAACCTCATCCCCACCACTCACCAGCTGGTGCCTGCATCAGGTGGCCCAACCTCTCTGGGCCTCAGCCACGTATCTGTCAAACGGGCATCATGCCCTCCTACCCCGTGGGGTGCAAGGACTGGACGAGATGGTGCAGGTGAGGGGCTGCACCATTCCTGGCACCTTCACTTCGATGTTCTGACAATGGGACAATGGCAATTGTGGAATGTCGGACATTCCCCAGCCTGCAGAGGGTTCAGGGTGACCAAGGCTGCCCCCATGCTGGGTGCCTGGGACTGGGTGGAAACTGCTTCATAAACTGGCAAAAAGGAAGAGCACTGGGGTGTGGTGGCGAGGACAATGACAGCGTAATAACCAATTGCTCTCCCTCTCTGGGGAGCAGCTGCCCTGAGCCCCCCCACACTTGGCTCCCACTCGGCTCTTGGCGCAGAGATAACAACAACAATAATTACAATAATCCCAGCTCTCCAATCCTTCCTCTCAGCAGAACTTTGCCCACACCTGCAGCCGCCCCACTTCACCCCCACCTCCCCAGAGAGGGGTGCTAAAGGCAGAGTCTTTGGGCAGGACATGCAACATGCATAACACACCTCGTGACTCTGAGCAGGTCCCTTTCCATTCTGGGCCTCAGTTTACCCATCTGCACAACACAGATGTTGAACTAGATACTCATGGGGGTATAAAGGGCCAGTTAATTTGAGCCATTAAGTCCTATAAGATGTGTGTGTCTGTCCCCTCACCTCCTCCTGCCCCTCTGGCCTCATCCCCTCTCCCTTCTCCAACTCACAGAGCTCCAGCCACAGGGACCTCCTGCCCCTCCTCAAGGCCTTTGCACTCGTCGTTCCCCTGCCAGGAGCATGAAACCAGGGCTTGTCCCTTTACTTCGTTCAAGTCCTTGCTCAGATGTCCCTAAAGTATCACTAACTCCAGTCTATCACTCTCTCGACTCCATAAATTGTGTCCCTCGCAATTCTTACGTTGAAGCTCTAACCTCCAGTACCTCAGAATGTGACTGCATTAGGAGACAGGACCTTTAAAGAGGTGATAAAGTTAAAATGAGGACTGGTGTCCTTCTGAGAGGAGATCAGGACGCACAGGCACCAGGGTCATATACGCACAAAGGAAAGACCACTTGAGGACACAGCAAAAAGGCAGCTGTCTGCTATCCAAGCAGAGAGCCCTCAAGGAAACCAAACCTGCTGACACCTTGATGTTGGACTGGCAGCCTCCAGGACTGTGAGGAAATACATTTCTGTTGTTGAAGCCATTTAGTCTGTACAATTGTCGTGGCAGCCCTAGCAAACTAATACACCCCCAACACTACGGCATTTTTCTATGTGGTGTGCCGAGTATCAGCCCCTGTTATTAGCCGTATATTTAGTCGTTATTTGGCCCCTCCCAATGCCATACACTGGCATGTGAGCTTCATAAAGGCGGGGCCCTGGCCTGCTCTGCTTCCTGCTGTGTCCCCCAGACCGCAGGACAGCACCTGGTATGCAGTAGGTCCTCAGTAAATGAAGAAGTTGGAGCCAGACATCCCTGATTTCCTGTTCTACCCTTGAACTGCTCCTTAACCTCTCTGTGCCAAACTCATGAGGGGCTTGCGACACTATAGTAGGCAAATGCGGGCAGATTGCCTAGCACCATGCCTGGCATGTAGCATGTGCCCCAGAAATAAGAGATATAATTGTAGCTGCTGTTGTGTTAAGTCAATTCATTCATTTATTCCCTCCACACACACACACTGACACCTCTTCTGCTGCCAGATGCCGGGGACATAGAAAAATCCCTCTGGTTTCTGACCTAGGGATGCTCACAGGTTAGTGGCAGAGACAGACCTGGGATCAATAATGTGCAGAGACAAAAGCAGGCTTAGTAGGGGGGCGCTTTACAGAGAAGGGGAGTTTGAAGCTGGGTGTTGAGGAGTTAGAGGTCACCAGACCGACACGGAGGGAAAGGCATCCAGGCAGGAGGAAGGGCAGGTGCAAAGCAGGGGTGGGCACTTGGCGGTGTGCGTCTGGCTGCAGTCTGGGCCTCTGTGTGGATGGTGAGCCGAGGGCAGCAAGAGCCTGGGAAGGGTTTGCAGCTGGGAGGGACCCAGCCAGATTTGTGTAGCCGAAATCACTCCGGGGCAGAGTGAAGGGTGGCCAGGAGGGGACGAGCTTGAGGGCAGAGAGGACACTCAGCGTGTGGGACTGAGGCATGAGGGGGGCTCGGCTGGAGGGCCAGGGATGGCTTGGGTGGTCAGGATGGGCCCAGCTGGGGAGAAGCAGCCAGGCTCATGGGCTTGAGGCAGGTAGTCTGAGCTGCAGAATGAGGCTTCTTCAAACTCCCAACTAGCTTTGGGGGCTCCCCACCTGGGCAGAGCTGAGCTGGCAAGTAGGGCTTGGTGGCTGCGGGGTCAGAAAGCTGAGAGGGGCAACCAGGGCACCACACGCACAGCTCACAAGGATGTCAGGAGGAACATTCTGTCAACTGGAACCAGGACAGGAAACCTGACAGGACTAGAGAAGTTTGCTCCCACTGGAAAGCCAAAGGGAAACACATTTATTTCTATGACACGCTTATATTTTCAGGAGACAAGTGCTGGGTTTTTGCACTGAAAAGGCATGAATAGAAAATTCCACCTCCTTCCCCAGGCACTAAAGGATAGAGGAAGCTTTTGTCCCCAGCTCACTGGTGCCTGAAATTCCACCATTGGAGCTCCACTCCTATGGCTTGAGGCTTTGTCATTTGTTAAAATGCAAACAACTTCACAGAAGCCAGGTCTTCAACACGAACTGGTTTTCATTAATTCAGCAAATATTTGAGTTCTGTCTCTAAACCAGGTGGCACCTGGAGGATGGGAATCAAGAGATTAATTAAGACTTGTCCAGAGCCAATCCTTCAAGGAACTGGCAAGTTCTGTGTGTATGGGCCTGCAGTAAGGAACCTGACCATAATGACGGTGGTGGGAGCCAGTCGCTGTGGGAACCCACGGCAGGGATGACTCGTTTCAAAGCTGCAGAAGGTGAAGCTTGAGCCGAGATGGAAAGGATGAACAGGGTGGGGATCCGGGGCTGAGAATCCCAGCGGGAGGCCCAGCAAGGGCATGTGAATGGAGCCACGGCCAGTATGGGGAGGGGACTCCGTGCCACTCGCCGGCTGGGCCATAAGGCGGGACATGGAGATAGGGCTGGAGAAGCAGGGAGAAGTTCTCATCATGCGACCATATTCATGAGCTCAGGCCACGTCTCAGTGCTCTGTGGCACCCCAGCTTCCACTTCTCTTCCCACTGATACCACCAGACCGACCCCCCTTTAGGGAGTTTCCTTCCCCACTGTCACCGCGTGGCCAGAATGCCCCACCTACAGTTCCAGGGCTGGACTCTGATTGGCTTAAGTAGTCAATCAATCCCCTCCAGCTTAATACAGTGATTGGGTCAGGGAACGGCACGTGACCCAGCTCAGACCAATGAAAGGTGAGGAGATGTTTGCTGAGGTTTCTGGGACTCGCCTTCTTCTTCCGGTCGCCATGGAATGAGGATGTGGTGGGATGGCAATGACGGCCACAAATCGGATTGGGGGGATGCAGAGGAGATAATGCCTGAGAATTAAAGCCAGAGCCTGAACCCCTGGGCCAGAGGGCACCTGCGTAGACCCACCTGTGTAGTTCTTGGTTAGCTAAGCTGCTAAATCCCCACATTTGCTTAAGCCATTTTGTTGTTATTTTCAAGTGAAGAATTCCTAACTGACGAAGCACCGGTTTTCACAGGCAGAATTTGATAGAGTTGGAGAAAATGAGCAGCCAGCAGGTGCCTAGAACCTGGCTCCGGTGGGGTGTGAGTTGGTGTGAGTTGGTCAGCTCCCTTTCCTTTGGATTCCGTCCCGGTGTACACCATGCATTTCTTATCACAAGTTGAGATCTTGTCCCAGAAAGCATCCCCTGACTCAAAACACTAGCCTGGCACCTGCATGGCAAGTCCTGGTCGGGCAGCAGGGGAGTCAGAAGCCCTGGGTTTTGTCCCTACCCCTCCCCTCCACCTGGCTGTGGGGCCCGGGCTGAGTTACACCCGCTCTGTGGGCCTACATTTGCGATCCATCTACCAGCCCGTATGCAGTGAGCTCCCTACGGGAAGGGGTGACGTCCATCCCATCCATGTGGCTGCAGAGCCCCAGACAGGCCTGGCACAGAACAGATGTCAATGGGGCTGATGACCAATCAGTGTGGGAGCTGCACCTTCCCCCTCTATCCCCCCAGGGTCAGGGCCTGTGTGATGCTGACAGGGACAGCTACAGTTCCATCTGTCACCCCCAAGATTGCCCCGGAGACCCCAGCACCATCCTAGAGCAGCAGGAGCTCTCGCAGGAAGAGGTTTCACGTGCAGCCTGCGTGGCGGAGGCCTCAGCTCGGACACCACCGCTATCTCTGTTGAAGGCTCACTAAGCCTCAGTTAGACTGTGGAGTGAGAAAACTCCCCAAAAGCTCAACCCTTGACTCTCCAGCTGCAGCTGACCTGGCAGTCAAGGTCAGGGACTCCCTCCTCCGTCTGCTTGCAGGTCCCTGTGGCAGAGAAGGGGCAGGGAGAGCAACGATGAAGAATCCCTGTCCCAAGACAAGAACCAAAGAGTGAAATAAATGAATGGGGTTCAGCCCAGGTTTATTCCTTGGAAGCAGCAGAGCCACTGCTCTGCCCTGTGGGTGGTATAGGCTGCCCCTCAGGGTGCTCAGTGGGTGAGGACACACATGTGTCTCTATTCACTGGCAAGAGCAGAGGAGGAAGGGGTGGAGAGAGGAGAGGGTCCAAAGAGCACTGGAGGCGGGTGGGGGCTCAAAGGGACCCTGTGAGTGTAGAGGGAGTGTTTGGGGTGGGGGCAGTAATCTTTTGTGAAATGGGAGGGTGGGCAGGGATGAAAGCAGGGGAGGAAAAGGAGGAAGTGGTGGATGATGACACGGAAATGTTAGGAGCCTGAATGGAAAACCTTGGATTCCAAGTTAAGGATCTTGAACTTGCCCACCTGTGGGCAGTGTACCTCACACGTATATACCCAGAGAAATTTTGGCAGTGTGCTCAGATGTACATGAAGCCTTAAGATAGGTATAGGGCATCCTCCCTCTGTGTCACCTTTAAGATCATGGAAAATGCCCATTATTTTGTATTTTATATTAAAACAATCATGGATATGTTCTAGAGGACAAAATACGCATGCATTTGAAATATTCGATTGGAGAATTCAAAGAACCTGTGAGTTTGTGGCTGACATCCAGATGAGGCACTGTCTAGAGGCACCTCTTGGTAACCTGGGTGCCCCCATATCCTAAAATATTAGTAGGAAGCTCCCAGTTTCTCCTTCCTAAACTTGTCCAAATGGAATCTCAGCCCCCTCCAATAGTGGCAGCGAGGGAGGGGAGGACTCTGTCTATAGTGCTAAAACTGGATTAACCCATTTCAACAAGTGAATTCGGACCTTAAAATTTGGATTCAGTTTCCATCTCTTGGAAGCTGGGTAAAGGAAGGAGGCTCGGAGAGACCCCAAGAAGCTGAGCACCCCTCAGGGCTGGGGAGTGAATATTCCTCTTACCTCTGCTTCAATTCAGAGGACATAGTCCTCAGAGCAAGATAGGGCTGGAGAGTAAGGAAGGGATCTGGAGGAACAAGAGTAGGACAATTATTTTATGTATCATTCACAGGTCCCAAGAAAAATATTTCCTTGACTTTGGAGACTTCTTTTCTGCTTCCTAAGAATCATTTAGAGTTCTTGAAGGGAGCCCTGAAAATAGTCCCTTGAGAAAATAGTCCCAGTAGTCCCAAAGACCTGGTGTGTGTGTGTGTGGTTGCTTATTGCTTCTAGTATGCATATGTGTGGCTGACTATGCATGTAATAGGCTCTGTGTGATGATGCATATCTCATATTAAAACAACTGGCATCTCATAACTCAATTCCTCAGGAGGGAAAATCTAGGACAAATATTTAGCTGGTATTTTATCCTACTACAAAAATGTGTGCCTCGTGAGTTGTTTCATCTCCACCCACAGCCCTGGAGTCACAGCCACCCAGATAGCATCTGCTAAGAAGAGAAAGTTCTGGGATCCCTGTGCAGGGCTCAGGGTGCCTGGCTTGGTGGAGGCTGAGGGAAAGGACCGCCTAGTCCCGGGGAGATGGAAAGCCCACAGCTCAGCACATCCAGCCTCCTGGCCTTACCGACGTGGTCCTGGCTACACTTCCTGTCCAGCCCACCAGCACTGAAGAAAAGGTCCCCTCACCCTAGGTGCCTATACCCCTTGGACTGCTCTGTCCCCCAGTCTTGCTGGGCTTTAGGGGCCTAGGAAGGTCCAGCCCACAGATACGGTGTTGGCCAACTCTGATGAGTGGTCAGAGCCTTGGCTTCAGGCAGAGCTGGGCTGGAGTCCAGGCTCCACTGCTCGCCCACTGTGGGATAAGGGGCCTGTTGTTTCCCCTGCTGCACCTCATTTGCTTTCGAATGCCGACCCCAGTGAGTGCCCCAGGGTGGCTGCCCATCACTGCGGATCCCCCTCTCCTCTCCCCAACAGGAGACATGACAGTCATTTGCTCATAGTTCTCCACTGACATTTCTTCCTGATTGATCTATTGACATGAAATTGGCCTCTAGCTTCTTACACATTAATCAGTTCAGCCACCATTAGCACATGAACTGCTGTCCTCGCAATAAAAATTTGTTAACTTTTATTTGCATTGCTTTCCATGTGTGCTCTGGGTTTCTGTGCTTCTTCAGGCTTCTCTCAACTTGGACAAATGCGCCCTTATCTTCCAGTGGGATGGGTTTTGCAGCTCCTCACTGAAGAGCGCATGAATTCGTAGATTTACAACTCCTTGCCGGTTTCTGCTGCCACTCCAGCTACTGTGTATTGAGAACTTGCTCTGGGCCAGGCATGGTGCTAAGGACTTTGCCAAGATTATCCCTAAAAAACAGGCACTATTCTTATCTCTATTTTACAGATGTGAAAACTGAGGTTTAGAATGGTTGAGTGATTAGCCCGAAGTCCCCCATGTACTGAGTGGGGGACTTTGTACTGAGCCAGCCTTTGATCACAGGTCTATCTGATTCTACAGCCCACAATTTCTACTTGCATTTTCCTCCTCCAAATGTTCCTACTCCTCCTTCTCCTTGTCCTGCTCTTCTTCCTCCCCCTCTGCTTCCTCCTTTCTTCTTCCCCTTACCCTCCTCTTCTTCCTTCCCAGTCCCTTGTAAACCTCTTCTTTCTCTCTTTCCCTTCCCCAGCTCTTTGTCCACAACCCAGCACCTCCAAGGCCTCGGACAGGTCACCTAAGGGCTGAGCTTCTGTGTCACTTGCTGGGAGAGCAAAGAGGGACATGGCTTCAGAGACATCCCATGTTATGGGGAGGAAGTCCAAGGGTCCCAGACTCACAACCCGCCCCGAGGACCCTCCCCTGGCTCCAGAGCCACAGTGGCACATTGGCTTCCCTTCACTCCTTCTAGCAGCTCAGATGCGGGACTGTCCTGTCCTCAGCATCACGTCGCTGCAGACATGTGAGCAATGGTGATGCCGTTCCCAGGCTTAATTTCACACGTGTGCCAAGGAGCTGCTCCCAGACCTCACCCTGGGAAGTGGAACATTATGCCCCTTGAATGGGGAAACTGAGGTAGCACATGCAGTGAGGGGCAGAACCAGCGTCAGCTCCCAGGGTCCCTAATTCTCAGGGACCTGTAACAAAATGGCAGCCCAACCCATGCGTCAGTCCAGGATGTTGGTGGTTTTGTTTTTATTTTTTTATTTCAGCATGAGTCTCACCCTGCCTTGGGAAGGGTGGGGCAGAGCCAACTGGATTCAGGCTCAGGGCCCAGGTCTGCCACTGACTCAGTGCGTGACCTTGGGGAACCTCTCCTTTGCCTCTGCAGGCCTCAGTTTCCCCATCTGTAAAACACTCTTTCACAGGACCAGGGCACTGAGCTTGACTCCCGGCAATCTGGCTGTGCTCGGTGTCCCGTCCCTCCAGGGGGTCCAAAGCCGGACGTGGCCACACGGCTGCTCAGCCGGGCGGCGGCTTCGCTTCCCCAGCAACGATTCTAATTCCTCCTGCTGGAAGCTGGGTCCCGGGTTTTGGGTTGGTTGGTTGCGGGGCGGAATTCCGTTTTCTTGGGGTTGGTCCGGCCGGAGGCGGCGGTTGTTTTTTCGGGGGGTTTCGGATTGGGCCCGGAGTCCAGGGGACAAACCCACCCTCAAAGCGACATCTGCCGGAAGGCGGCATTGAATCATGTCACACTATAATAGCATTTCACCCCGTTCCTGTAACCTTCATTTCGCCAGAGTCAGACTCTCCCGCCGAGGGGCCCACTTCCCCGTCTGGGGACGTTTCCTGGCGGGGGTGTCCTGGCTGCACCAGGCAGACTGCGCTATGGGGGTGGGACGGGGGTTGACAGCAGACTGAGGGGCTCGGGGCCAGGCAGGGTGGGCAGGGGTGAGACCCTGACAAGAGAGAGGTAGAGGAGTTGGGAAGGGGGTTGGCCCATGGGACAACTCGCTTCACAGGGCCTGTCACCCAGCGTAGGTGGCCCTGGAGACTCAGGTCCTCCTTCATCCACTCACTTTCTCATGCCCTCAACAAACATTTCTTGGCATTGACGTACCAGGGTGACGTGCCAGGGTGGGGGGCACAGAGCTGGGAAGAGCTTGCCTGCACCCTCGGGGCTCACGGCCTGGCGCGAGAGACGGAAGCTGCACCAAGAAGCGCCACAGCTGCCGTTGGGGGCAGGAGGAGGCAGCCTTGGACTCCCTGGGGGGCGGGTGGGCAGGCGTGGGCCCAGCGTGGCTGCCCCAAAAGCAGACCCTAAGACCAGGGCTCTGCTGCGGGTAGGTCACCTGCAAGGGGACCCTAGGGAGCCCAAGTGAGGAAGGGGAGTGACTGCGGCGGGCAGGGGAAAGCCCGTGAAGCGTGTATTAAGGAGCGGGGCACAGCAACGGCGGCTGCAGGGGCTCAGTCCTGCTGGGGACCCTCTGAGGACCTGAGAGTCGTGTGGAAGACACCTCAGAGCCCCCCTCCTGGAGGATGTGTGGCCACTGACCTACGGCCCCTCGAGGCATCAACTCCTCCTGCCCCTCGTATGTCCAGCTGGCGCCCACGACACAGACAAGCAAGTTCTCCAGGTGTCAGAGAAAGAGGGACAGAAACGCAGGCATTTGAGGCAGGAAGCTGTCGGCGTGCTCAGAACCGTCTGTTGCTGCAGGACTCAGAGAGCCAAGGGGAGATGGGGCCACCAACAGCATCTGCTACGACATCTGGCATGGGAATGGCAGCGGGAACAGTACACAGGTGGGAGGAGAAGAAATAAAAGTGACTCAAGGGGCCAGAAAATTTCAAGAAAAGAATTTATTTTAAAAATTGTGTATGGGAGATATTCGAACAGCATGCAGGGAGGCCTTAGTTGGTGGGACTGACAAAAGGGGAAGAGAGAGAGAGACTCGCTCCATAGGGACCGCCTCCTGCAAAGGCAGAAAGGAATAGATCCAGAGGACAGAATCAGATTGGCCCCCAACCAGGGGAGGAAAAATTCTGTCCTACGACAGTTAAGAACCCCATTCCTGAGCTGGCTGCGAATGGGTTTGGGAGAGCAGGGAGTACTTGAGGAAGTCAGGATACCTGTTGGGAGT